TGGTCATAATCTTTTCCAAACTCTCCATCGGGCAAAAGATACAAAAGCTAAACATACATACCAACGGATTCAAGAACAGCTTCTTCCCCGCTGTTATTAGAATTCTGAGTGGACCTCTCAAATTTCAGATTTAATGTTGATCTCACTCTTTGTATTCCTTGCTCTGTTATATTGCCCTCACGCACTTTGTATGGTATGATCTGCCTGTACTGCACGCAAAACAAAAAAAACTTTTCACTGTACCTAGGCACGTGACAATAATAAATCAAATCAAAATCAAAAGATGTCCCAAAGCACTTTACAGCCAATGTACTTTTGAATTTTAGTTGTCTATGCCCTCCCTCAAAATGGCGGCAAGGCAATCTCTCAAATCTATCTGGAAGACCTCAGTTCAAGGAGGCAGCTGTAAGAAGGCATTTCCAACAAGGAAACTCTGACTCAGTCCTGAAAGTCAGTGTGCTCAGGTCTCTGAAGTAGGAATTTAACCACATCCATCTGATTCAGAATTGACAGTCCTACCAACTGAAACACAGCTGACAATTTAACACAATGAACTGAAAAAGTAATTACAAAATTAAAAGTTGAGCAACAGTTCATTTGGCCTGGTAATGCATATGGAGCAGAACTGGTAAAGCATAAAAATCAGAGTTACATGACTCAATTATTACTGATGTCCACCTTCTCCAAAGTAATTTAACATTTTGACTCCTGTTACAATGCATAAAATGTTATGGATTACTTGCCAGCTCTGATCTCGATGGTGGAAAGTTGCTGAAATAAAACAGAATTAAGTGATTAACAGTGACAAGATTGAACATACAAATTCTAAAAGCGGCAATTCTTGGAACAGGAAGTACTAGAATTTAATATGTTGTTTGAATGCCACAGAAACAGGCTGCAAAAGACAGATAGTGAAGTTTCAGTTTCATGATCTGTGGCAGTTAAGGATGAGCGACCACTTATAAAGGTTCAACATTTGATGCAAGATTAATCACCCATTTTTATTACATTGGTTATTACATCTGACAGTTCAGGATCATGTTCCATAATTCTGTCCATTGCAAAGCATCTTTACTTGGGGATATGCGGGGTCAAGATCCCAGGATTCCTTCCCCAACACCACACCTTCACCACACAGACCTCAGAAGTTCAAAAGCGGCAGCTCACCTCTTTAAATCAGGGACCCATATCCCAAGGATGAATTAAAGGAGAACAGAGGCAACAGATTTATTGGTCAAATGGGTCAAATTCCACTCTGGTTACGTAGCCTAAGGGATTTTCTGGAGTTTTGACACTGTGCTGAGAATCAATTTAATATATTTTTCTACTGAAACTGCAATGACTGAATGGAGTAGGCACTTCAAACATTTGAGATGAGACTAGGCCTTGTCAGGAATACAGTTTTAAGTCAGTAGCTTTTGCCAGCAACTTGGATGCCTTATGCAATTCACAATTCCAAGCTACAATGGAGGTCTGATCTCAACTTGCTGCCAAATGGTACATTGCCAGAGGCCTGCGGTTAACATCAGGGCTTAATATGCTAAATCATCAGAGAAGAATGGAACCAAAAACTTTTGTTCTGGTAAAAATAGTTAAAAACAGATTTAACACTTCTCCTTTTTAAAAAAAACCTACCTTTGTTGTGGACGAAAAGCTGATTATTCCAGCGCCGATGAGCTATGACCAAGGATCAAACACAGCAGGGGAGTAAGGTTTTAATGACATTGGAAGTTATTTAGTAATAGGAAAATTGGTTTATCAGCAAGTTCTCATAAGAACATTAACTTTTTCTTTGACAAATTGCCAGATTGTACTTTGAAACATGATCACTATCCCCCATGGTTTGACCTATCACTGTTGGATTCCATTAGCTTACGTAGTTGAAAGTGCATTGAAATGCTTTAGCTCTCAATATTCCCAAGAGCTTCATCTTCCAATTCGTTTCCCTTCTTCTTCCCTCTTTAAGGCGTTCTAGGACTTTGGTATAGTGCTTCATGGGCTCCAGTTATCCTCATGTGTCTTATTCCAACGGCAAGATTTTAAAGCTGACACTAGACTGAGTGCTATCATGGTTCACATACAATGGTTGAACTAACACTGACTGCTCCTGACCTCCACTCCAGCACAGAATTAGACACCCTGGCTGACATTTTGCCCAATTCATTGCCAAAGGCGCAGATGCCAAATTGGTGAAATTACCCAAAGCAGAGAGTCTTTTATACAGTGCCTGTCTCAACATCAGGACTTCCGAAACAACCTGGGGTTAGGAGAAGTAGGCTATTTGGCCCCTCCAGTCTGCTGGACCATTCAACAAGATCATGGCTGATCGAATTGTAGCTTCCACTCCACTTTGCTGGATAATCACCGTAGTCTTTGATTATTCATTAACAAAGAAATTGATCCACCTCTACTTTAAAAATGCTCAATGATTCTGCCTCCATTGCACCATGGAGTCCCGGCCCTCAGAAATACTTGAGGCCACCGATTTAGGAGACCCCTTATTTTTAAACTGTATTCCACCAGTTTTATTATCTTCTACAAGGTGAACCATTGTTCAGTATCCACCCTGTCAAGTCACCTCATGATCTTAAATGTTTCAGTAAGATCGCATCTCATTCGTCCAGTCACCAATGAACATGTTCTCATCTGTCCAACCTTTCTTTGATAACCCTCTCAACCCAGGAATCAGTAGTGTCATCCAGAGTCCCAGGCATGGGTTCAAATCTCACCAAGGAAGATGGTGAAATTTAAATTCAATAAAATTTTTAGAACACAAAAGCTGGCCTAAAGATGACTATGTAACAATTATTGACTATTGTAAAAATCCATCTGGTTCACTAATAGTCTTTCAAGAAGAAAATCTGCCATCCATATCTGGCCTCCATGTGACTTCAACCCGACAACAATGTTGTTGACTATTAGCACCTGCCCTCTGTCAGTTAGGGATGGGCAATAATTGCTACCTTAGCCAGAAATGCCCACATCCATGAACAAATGAAAAACATAGAACAAACTTCCCTGAACTGCTCCTAATGCCTTTCTTAAATAAGGAGACCAAACTGTAAGTGGTACTCTAGATGTTATCTCACAGATGCCTCTTACAATTGTAGCAAAGCATGCCTTTTATATTCCATTTTCTTTGCAATAAACAACATCCCTTTTGCCTTCCTAATCACTTGCTGTACCTGTAAACTAATTTTGTGTGATTCATGTACGGGGACAACTAGATTCCTCTGTACTTTATAGTTCCAAAATATCTCTCAATTTAATTAGCAAGCTGCTTTCCTGTTCTAAACCATCCTACAGTCAATGAATTACTTTTTGTAATCCAATCAATCACTTTGGAGGAAATGAGGCAGCCAATTCATGCACAGCAGGTTCTCATGAATAGTAATGTTACGAAAGATTAGGTAACCCTTTTTAGTGACATTGGTTTCAAGGTAAATATTGGTTAGGTCTCTGGCAAGAATTTCTCTTCTGTATTTCCAAATGTTGTGCATGGATTCTTTTATGTCCACCTGATGGGGCAGACAAGGATCATGTTCAACAAGATTACGACAACATAAAAATTGTACATCAAAACGGACTCAGTCACACATCTGAAACAAAATCATAGCCTTACCATAAAGTGTGCGTAGTGATTGTAACCAGCTGGATCTTGTTGACTACAAGATCCTTGATTGGGGTTGTTAACCTGGACCAAATCAGGAAAGCCCTGGGTGACCAATATAACCAGGAGGTTAGAATCTCCTCAGTTCAGGCAACTGACTCTGAGCTGACTGGTCACAGCTTATGTACGGTGCACAAGTAAATAAAGGGTGACTTGGTGACGGGTTACTTCAGTATGCAACTGAACAGAAGGAACTGTGCTCAGAAAGACATTAGGTAGGACTGAATTTACAGACAATCGCTGAAGAGGCGAATGGAAGTACATATAGAAAAAGCCTCAGTTTTCAAGTCCCTTAGAAACTGATGGATAAACCAGCTCTGGGGTCAAAACATTCTTTTCCACTTGGAATACTGGTTTGTTATTAAAGACCACCAAATTGTCAGAATTGTATGGTAGTCATCAGTGAGACACGACATCCTGATGGCACATGCTAAAGGAAGAAATTAAACACACTCCCCATGAGAATGTTGCTGCAAACCATCATTCTGACTCCCTTAAACATCAGCAACAATGAAGCTTGGGTCGTTCACCTCCTTAAATGTCTGAATTGCATGTCACATTTGGAAAAGTAAATTCTTTCAATTACTTTGATGCTCATACAATGGTTCCTTCAGTTGTAAGAAATTGTATCTCTAAGAATAAAATAGATTAATTTATGATATTAGCAGGTATGAGACAGTGTGAAAGAAGGTTGTTCCTTCTCTCTCTCTGCAAAGCAAGTTCTCAGCAGTCAAAGGCAGGGACATACAGACATACTTGCCAAAGCGCAACTAGATATGCATCTGATTGGAGTTAGTGGTCAACACAAAACATGAGATAAATTGCAAAATGGCTATGAGCCAAAGTGATGGGGAGAAGGAAGGAGACATCTTGGGTACCTGTCTTTTGGGCTTCAGCCTAATGGGATCAAACAAGTGATTGGAAAGGCATACACTAGGATCCACTAGAAGCAAAGTATATTAATGGGTTAACAAGGTGTAGAGCTGGACGAACCTGGAAGGGTCCAGACCCGAAACGTCAGCTTTCCTGCTCCTCTGATGCTGCTTGGCCTGCTGTGTTCATCCAGCTCTACACCTTGTTATCTCAAATTCTCCAGCATCGGCAGTTCCTATTATCTCTATATTAATGGGTGTTTGGAAGGGAAAGGGGCTATCCTCAAGAGGAAATGGTGTCTTTCTTAAGCTCTTACTCTGCACATCAAGACACAACAAAGGAAAAGGCTGTAAACAGAAAAGCCATCAAAATCCCTCTCAGTTGGATTTTTTTCTTAGTCCTTTTCAGAGCTTTTCATCATATTTAAACAGTTGCTCAAAAAACAACAAAATCACAATAGCATGACCCCTTTTATTAGGCAATCTACACAGCTCTGGCTTGAGAATGGGTTTCTATGCATACAGCAGGAAGGTAGGGGCGTGTAAAAGGAGAACAGCTTGCAAACGGTTTTGATTTGTATTTAAAAGACTAAAAGAAGTTAAACTGAACAAATGAGTAAAATAAATGGGAAAGCAACCGTGATAAGTGACTATCACAAAAGAGGATAGCCAAGATGCAAAAGTAAACAGCCTAACAAAACAAATGCAAACTAACAGGTGCACACTTTAATGGATAGTGAACGTTTGTTACTTTTTAAAATAGAACACAAATCACAACGAAAAATTGCTGTCCAATGGTCAGAATTGACAAGTAAAACTTCCAGATTATATTTTCTACAGGTATAAAGGAAGGTACATACAATGGAGACACACCATTATCAATTACAGAGAGTAGAGGTGGTAATGGCCCAGTGGTATCATCACTGGACCGTTAATCCAGAGGCCCAGGTAATGTTTTGGGACCAAGTTCAAATCCTGCCATGGCAGATGGTGGAATTTGAATTCAATAATAATGTGAAATTAAGAGTCTAATGATGACCACGAAATCATTTTCAACTGTTGGGGAAAAACCCATCTAGTTCACCAATGTCCTTGGAGGGAGGAAAACTGCCATCCTTACATCTAGGCCAGACCAGGTGACTCCCGACCCATAGTAACGTGGTTGACTCTTAAATGCCCTGCTCTGGACAATTAGGGATCAATAATAAATACTGGCCCAGCCAGCAACACCCTCATCTTGTGAATGAATTTTAAAAAAACAGCATTAGTGCCTAAACTTATATAAAAAGAATTTTTTTTTCCACAGGGCTGAAGAATTGGTCACAATATGGAGACAACATGACAAAGAAAAGGACTTGCATTTTTTGACAGCCCAGTCCCCAACCTCAACACGACAGCACTTCATAACCAATGAAGTACTTTTGAAGTAAAGTCATCATTTAATGTGAGACCTGTCAGTTACGTTGCACACATTAAGACAGTGCAATTGAGTGCTATATATTAATCATGGAGTCATAACCACAGGAGATTTTAATTAACCAAAAATAAATTGTGGTAGGAAAGTATTTGCGCTGCGAAAAGAGGATCTTTTGAGTGCATCGAGTTTGTTCGATTCAAACAAAGTAGCAAGCTCAACTTGACCTAGTTCTGCACAGCAAAGTAATGCAAAGGCTACCATAATGAGGGAAGGGCATTCAGTACAATCAGGGTAAGTCAGGATAAAAAGGTCCTTGCATGGATAAAAATAAGTAAAATTATCCCATAAATAAAAACCAAAAAGAACTGCAAATGCTGTAAATCAAACAAAAATAGAAATTGCTGCAAAAGCTCAGGAGGTCTGGCAGCATCTGTGGAGAGAAAGTTAACGCTTCGGGTCAGTTCTGAGGAAAGGTCACTCTTCATAGATGCTACCAGGCCTCCTGAGCTTTTCCAGCAATTTCTATTCTTTTAATCACATAAGAAATACAGACTGCCCGAATTAAATGATGAAATGGAATCTTAGATCATCAATGGGAAGTACTTAAACAGGAGATGGAACAGATAGTAGGAACAGATTTTCTTTAATTTCAATTGTGAATAGGGACTGCGTTGAAGGTTGCTGCAGACAATTAGCTTATGGAAAATATAATCTAATTCGTTAGCATAATTTCCATTGGCACAAGGTATGTGAAACATTAAGGGCATGGACTGGAATAAGTTAGGCACAGGAGTAGTGCAAAAGGAGCCAGCAGGTTTTGCAGTGAGGACAAGAAGGGGTAGTATTTTACACCTAAGTCACTAAACCTATGCTTATAAATTAATTGCTTAACATTCTTGTTACAAAACCTTTGCGATTGCATACTGTGTTAATGACCAGATTGAACTCAATTCCTTTGTTTCGGATCAATGTAAGAAATTGGAGGAGATTATACATCCACTTAAACATGCTCTGCCATTCAATAAGATCACAGCTAATCCACTTTCCTGACCAATCTCCTGGATTCCTTAAAGCCCAAAATTCATTCACTCTCAGCCTTGATCATCTTCGCAACTGAGCATCTGAATTCCAGAGTTCAATATCCTAAGAATTCCAAAAACTTGCAATCCTTTGGGTAAAAACAAAATTGCATCTCTGTCCCAAATGGGCAACCCCATTTCTTAAGGGCTTTCATCCACAAGTTCTAGACTCCCCAGCCGGGAGGAAACAGCCTCTTAGCATCAATCCTGTCGCCAAATCTTAACATGTTTCAATAAGGTTCCTTTCAATTCCATCTCCTCACATGAAAATCCCCATATTTTAACAATTAATTCTGTGCCATAAAGATTCACTATCTCTTGGGCAATTACACTGTCCTTTTGTATGAATTTGATCTTCTCACCAAAGTGACCTGGTGAGGTCTCAGCAAAGGCCTGTGCAATAGCAACAAGATTTGCCTTCTGTTATTCTCCAACCTTCTTGCAACAAAGGCTAACATATCACTTACCTTTCTAATTGCTTGCTGCACCTACATTTTCAAGTTGAGTTGTGTGTACAGACATGTTAGTTCCTCTGAACATCAATACTTAATAGCTGCTCTCTACAAGTAGTTCTCCTATAATGCGATAGCTGCATTCTTGTGTGACCTTGCGCTATAGAAAATTGCCACAGAAAATTACGTTATAGGGAAATCGCTATACCTGTACAGCGGAAAGTTCGTGTTATCCAAACAGCGTCCACTATTCATTAATTGCATTATAGCCAATTTGCATTAATGAAATGCGTTATAGCTGAAATACCTGTATTTGAAAAACAAATGTTTGCTACCCATCCTAAAGTAAATACCCTCACATTTTCCTATAAACACTCCATCTGATACCTTCTTAACCACTCTACCTGCAGACCATTACATCCTGTTCACTGTCTACTTTCCCAGCTTGCTTCATAACTGTGGTTATGAATGGTAGGGGCGTGGAATGCATTGCCGGAGAGGGTAGTGGAGTCAGCCTCATTAGGGGCATTTAAGTGGCTATTAGATAGGCAAATGGATAATAGTATAAAGGTGGGGGTGGAGGTTAGATAGACCTTAGGTTTCGGGTAAAAGTTCGGCACAACATCGTGGGCCGAAGGACCTGTACTGTGCTGTACTGTTCTATGTTCTATGTTTTAACTCCAATGAAACTAGGTGTGTTACATTTGTTCTTTCATTTAATTCATCGATGAGGATTGTAAGCTGCTGAGAGTCTAGGGCTGTTCTATGTCACACCCCATTAGTAACAGCCTGTCAATGTGACAATGATCTGGTTAGCCTTTCTCTCGGTCTCCTGTTTGTTGACAAATTTTATGTTAATAAAATTAACCCAGATCTCATGATCCCTTATCTTGTATGAACCAGAGGGGTTTCCACACCTGCTTTGTTTTCTTAGTCACAAGTTTTACACCTGAACTTATTATCAGAGCAGTAAAAAGTATATGTGAAGCATTTAAAAATATTTCTCAAATCTGATAAGAATTTATAGAAACGCACACCAGTCTTTTTTTTTGTAAATTAGAGACTGCTTCCCATTCACCCAGTTGCAATCTGATACAATTATAAAATAAATAAATTCCTGATTAAAGAGGGGAGAAGCATACACCAGGCACAAAGTTATTACACAAAAATTTGTCATTTTACAACCTCATTCCCTTGTTTCACACCTCAACTTTATCAACAAGGCTATTACTTTCCAGAAATTTACTCTCATTTCAATGATAAGAAACACAAATTCTATTGTTCATCAGAAGTGACTCGTAAAGGATGGGTACTTTTGCTGCAAAAGGATGTAGTTGGTATTTTTATTTCTCAGCTCAATCATTCTTGCAACATTTCCTAAACAAAGCCAAACTGAGCACAAAAACTATGGACATTTTTGGCACTTACAGACTTAGCTTGAAGAATTGTGTTCACATTATGACTTCACATTAAACACTTGAAGACAGCAAAAGGAGGGTGAGGGATATGTTTGTTCCTATTGATCTGGATTCATTCCAGATTCCTATCAGTAAAATTGCAGGATTGCTATCGCACCATCTAGGAAATTCATGGTGGATTCACACAAGACTCAAATTGTACAAGACTCCTTCATTTTGCCTGATATTTGTTCAAAATATAAAATATGCAAATCATTACATCAAAAAAAAAGGTTCTCAAAGAGATAGTGGGATGATATTCCTGGGATCACAACTGATTGAGGGTGGTGAAATTGCTGTGCAAATCTGTGGCAAGCATATTTGGTGAAATTTTCCATTCTTCGGAAGATTTTTTTTAAAAAAAGATAATTGCATGTTGTTACCCAAATATGGCCAGTGGAGCATGGACTAACAGGAAATATTTCTCACAAGTAATGTTCACGATTGGCAGGTAGCACTTTTCAGAATAGATCAGTGAAATTAGCACCTAGACTCCTGATTCAGAGTTAGCACCAACATCAGCTGGCTGATGATTGGGAAATGTCATGGAACACGGATTGTATATCTGACCTATCCTTACACAAGTGAATTGGGTGGGACGTGCTTTCATAGATGAGGGAACAAGCTTCAGCTGAGACACGCAGAAGGAGAAGGAATGAAAAAGATGGAATGGACCTGCAAGACTTGTTGGCACTCAGCTCTTTATGGAACGATCAAATCAAAGACGGAACAAGATGGGAAATCCAGTTCAGTTTGATGGTCGACTCTGCAAAGAGTTACAAAGAAAGATAAAGTTGTTCTTTCTCATTTGAGTCGTAATCTATTTCTGATCCCCAACTTGTGCAATTCTGAAACCTAGAACTTATAGTCAATTTGTCTTTGATTTTGTTCATAGCTACCGGTTAATGTTTCCCACTTATCAGATATTCTACCAACCTAGACAAAGGACAGGTCAGATCCATGACCAATTAGTTTGAAAACCATTGCTGTTTGTCATCTAACTCAAAACCCATATTACAACGGAAAAGGCATGTGAATTTAACAAAACAGAATTCCATTCTCCCACTCTTGAAAATCATTGATTGATCCCTTCCTGAATGAAGAAATTACGCTCTGAAAGGGCTGCAGTCTCTTAGCTCGGATAGGCTGTCTCTAGTTGGCAAAGATTTCTCCCATAGGGATCCAGATGTTCTTGCACTGTGTGGCTTGGTACAGAAATTCTTCACCTGCACCTTGCTGAAGGTTCCACCAGTTTCGCTGAGCACCATAGTTCACCCAGGTCCGCTTTACATTTTCAGCTGATGACCACTCAACAAACTTTGATCCCTGTAGAAGACAAGAAAAAGGTAACATTTTTACATATATCTTTGAACATTAAAGGAAAGGAACTATAATGATGGGCACAGCCCATGATGCAGGGCTTCAGAGAGGAAGACAATTTAGTGTTGTGGATTAGGACAGCTGTATAAACCTCTTGGACAAAAAGAATAAAGGTCTTTGGATTTATTTAGTACCTTTCAAAATCATAGAATGCTCCAAACTACCTTACAATAAAGTGAAGCACTTCTGGAAGTGTTGTCGAGTGTTTAACAACAGAAATGTGCAAACCAATTTGCACACAGCAAGGTTACACAAGCAACAATAAGCTAAAAGGCCAGCATGGTTTTAAAGAATATGAGGGACATCAGTAAATGCTTTTCGTCAATACCAGTCATGGAATCATTTGTGCCCAATGAATAGAATAAGCAGACTGGAGGATTCAAGTGGCTACTCCTGCTCCTAATTCGTATGTTTACTGTCTCAGACTAAGGGTGTGCTCCACTGTCGGAACGATATCAGCACTGTCTTCACATTGAAGGAAGCCTAACTACTCACACTGCACGTGCACCATCAGAATGTCAATGTAATTGTATACCATTAACTCAAAACTGAAATATTTAGCTTTGATACTGCTGAAAGTCTGAAATGAACACATCAGTTTTCTCCTCTTTGGAAGATGTTGAAGTGTGGTCGATTGGTATCTGCTTTCTTTCATTCCCTGTCCAAATGGTCACTCCCCATCCTTATGCCTATATAACAGCTGCGGCCAGCAGTTCAACCAGGGAATGAATCACTGAAGTGAAGTTGTCAAAGTGTTAATGTCATTGGCCCAATAATCCAGAAACCCAGACTAATTTTCCAGGTACATGGATAAAAATCCTATCATGGCAGCTGGTGGAATTGAAATTCAAATAATTACATATGGAATTGAGAGCTAATCTGAGTAATAGCGACCCTGAAGACCTTCAGCAACTGTCATTAAAAACCCATTTGGTTCACTGGTGCCTTTTAGGCAAGGAAATCTGTCATCTTACTTGGTCATGTGACACCATACCATTAGCAATATAGTTTTTTTTAAATTTGATTTGATTTATTGTCGTCACATGTACCTAGGTACAGTGAAAAGTTTTGTTTTGCGTGCAGTTCAGGCAGATCATACCATACAAAGTGCATAGGGTGATAGAACAGAGCGAGGAATACAATGTTACAGCTACAAAGAAGGTGCACAAACAGTGAGATCAGCATTAAACTTAAAATTTGAGGTCCATTCAGAAGTCTAATAACAGCAGGGAAGAAGCTGTTCTTGAATCTGTTGGTACGTGTGTTTAAGCTTTTGTATCTTCTGCCTGATAGAAGAGGTTGGAAGAAACTGCCCTCTGAAATGGCCTAGAAAGACACTTAGTACAAGGGTAATAGGAGATGGATAACAAATGCTGGCCTTACCAGCAACACCCAAATCCCACAAAAGAACTTAAATATCATCTCCTGTGCACAGCTTCGTGAGCAAGAGTCACAAGATAGGGAATGCTGGCTGGTTTCCCCCTCCTTCTTAGCTGGTAAGATCCAAACAATGCCTCCCCTGGGGTTTAACGAGCTCTGTACAAATTCAGGAATCAAGTTTAGATTCTTCTGGTCTGCCTGGTGATGCCTTTAACCAACTAATTCTCCCAGGAAGCTGCTAAAATTCGTTATCAACTCTCCACTACTTTACGCACAAGAGGTTAAATATTAGCACCTATTAAGTCTAGGTTATTGACCTACATTGCAACAGGAAAATCATTTTAGCCTCTGCGTCAACTCTAACTAGGGGAATTAACCCAAATTGTGTGCAAGCAGGGCATAAGCACAAGTAATAATACCCTTTGTGATTTAAAACTTATTAAATACCACAATAAGTACCTGCAAGTTCTGTAAGTGAATTGATTAACCAAAAGCAACAATGAGGTTGTTCAATGCAACCTGCCAACTCACGCTTCTGCATGTGTCAATAAAAGCAGATTGTCTTCCTTGATGACCTTTGCAGTGCAGGGGGTGCGGACTTGTGTTCTCTTTTCGCAGTTAAAGGTGAGGGAATAGAATGGAATGTGATGTCAGATTAACTGCTTCAACATTGATAGAGTGCAGTTAGATTAATTGCTTGTTTGATTCAGTTGGCACCAAACACCATTTGTAGTCAATATTCATTTCCAAACTGAAACACATGATCTAAGCCAGGAGCTCTCAAACATTTTGCCCCTCGGACTACTCAGGTGGGATAAAAGACCCTGTGGATCACCCACTGGTTCCAACCCATCCACTTTCACTTGCCATCCCCAGAAAAAAAAAAGCTCTGGGGGCGGGGGGAAACACTCTGGCATTGCTTTTGATAAGACACCAATGAGGTGATGTCTGGTTCCAAAAGCTCTAATCTCATGTCAGTTTATTACTCCACTTGATTTTCAGCTGCCTATGTGTCAGAAATGCGATTGTACAGTTGTAGATTATTGGAGATGGCAGCAGATCCTTCACAGCTGATCGAGTGAATCTTTAATACTCAACATTGTACATGGAGCCAAGCTTTCTCACCACATTAAAGACCACTGTAGACCATCAGAGGCCCATACAGCAGACTTTTAGAACTACTGATCTAAACTGACATTATCTATGTGGGGGTAGGGGAATTCTCCAATGCTGAAGACACCATCTTTCAGAGGAGTTGCTGAGCTGAGCCTACCCAATCTGTTTGGTGAAGTGTTGAAATATTCCATTGACATTAATTAAATTTACAGCAAGAATTTTCTCTCTACCACAGACAAAACCAGAAATTGCCAGACAAACTCAGGCAGTATTTGCGGAGACACGTTTTGGGTCTTCTTCAGTTTCTCTCAATGTCTTGTTCAACGTTCTGGTCAGAATCACTAAAATCTAATCAACTGCTCATTCAAAGGAGTCACGACTAGGATGAAACCATCACCAATATGGATGAAGGAGATCTCATAACTGCAGGTGTTTGATCTGCAGGTGTTTGGAGATGAATGTCAAGATTCAAAAATTTCATGGAAAAGTGAGGCTGGCTTTGCATTTTAAATAAATCTCGATACTCCAACAGCAAATTACCTTCACATTTAAATGACAACTCAGTTAGGATCACGGGATATTGCAAAGGTAGACAATCAAATCAGTCCATTAACACTTTGCTAATCCTCTGAGAGAGCTATGAACCCACATTCCAGATAACCACAGTTGCTTTTATCAATGTGCACCATTTCCTCCTTACAAACTGTTTGAGCCCTTAGATTTGTCTTTTAGAATAAACTATTTTAACTGTCCTATAATTCCTTCACAACACAGAGTTTCAAGTAGAGTCTGAAGAGTTACTGAGCTCTAAAGAAGTCATATCAGACGTGAAACGCCAGCTGTTTCTCTCTCCATAGATGCTGCCAGACCTGCTGACTTTCTCCAGCATTTCTGTGTTGGTTTCAAATTTCCACAAGATTTTGTATTTATTACTGCTCAATAATTACTGTTTATCACTTCCCAATTGCGTAAATAGAAAAGATTTACACAGGCGACACTTCACTGCTTTGGTACAACTTTCATTTCAAAGGATTTTTGAAGACGATAATCTTGATCTTTATTATTTCCTTCCTGACTTCCCTCAGCATTCTACGAAATGTGCCATCAGGGACTGCAGTCTTTCCTGCTTGGGAGTGTCAATTTTTTCAATACTAAACCCTCATCTTGTTATCTAATGAGTCGCCCCGCTTCCTCTTCCTGTACCTGCTCAGTCCCACCACCACATGTTAAAGCTAATGATAACTCAAGAATGTTTAACAGGACTAGCTAGGCACATTATAGAGGGTAACAGATGAATACAATTAGACGCTATGAAAACCTAACACCACCTCATCACCAACACAGATTTTACTCAAAAGTGATCAAATGGCAAATTAGATAATTTTTTAAAGAAATAATTTCAAAGTGCTTCTGGTGGGCAAACTCTCTCTCTCTTCACACAAGGCTCCTTTTGCTACAATTTGCCCTCTTTGAAGTCATAAAGACGGCAGATATTTCCTCAATGAAAATAGTTATTGTTAAGTGAATCCAGGTCAATGACCCAACTGCTCTAACTATTCCTCATATCCAAAATTGAATGAGTAGAATTTAGCAGTAACAGTCAGAATTATAGAGGGGGCATAAAAACAATGCTTCTATTTTTGTTTCAAAGCTGAAGCGGTGTCATGAACACACAACGCCACTCTCTAGCCATTTCCACTCTATGGAAAGTGAGAGGGTGTTGGCTGCTGACAACTACAGACTCAGTAGCAAGGTTCAGAAGGGATTTTTGATGCACTTTATCCCACAACCTCCCCTATGCGGAAACAGTGACTGTTGTTGCAGTCAACGTATTCCATCTGTATCTAGAGTTTCCAATGTTCAAATTTGATCAATCAGATTAAACAGTCACTGGGCTGAAATAAATTGAGGTCAGCATTTATTTTTATCATACCAAAAAAATTTCAAAGAAATATAATAGTACAATTAAAAGCCCTAGTATACATTCTGCATGCTTCTAGCCAGTCATCACGTACAAGTCACTACTAAACCAAACGAGCTATATACTATTTGGGTTGCAGTTAATATTTCATGAAAAAGGTACCAAAAAGATCCATTTCCTGGCCTGTAAGATGTTCAGGAATGGTAAAACATTAATTACTCAAAGTCTTAACTTGTCAAAGGTCCAAAGACCAAAAATAAATTCTGCTAGATCATAGATAACATTTATTGATCAAAAGCTTGTTTCTTATTACAGAATGTGTTATAAAATCAAAATCATTCAATTTACACATCTGTGTTATTGACTGTCTGATAATTCTTAAAGTGGCCATTGCATAACACTTTAAAGAGCAATAAAACTGTTAAGTACCTGTGCTAGCAGGGTTTGAAGATAGCACCACAGCAGACAGAAAAGGTGAAATGGAACTGGGCAGTGTACTGCACTGAAATCATTCACATCATGCCTGTCAACTTTACTCATTACCTCATGCTACACCTGTGCAGAACCCGCATCTTAAGAATCAGGTTGGTCATTGTGGCAAACATAAATATGAAAAATTTAAGCAAAGTAGGGATGACTCGGTCTTCTTTGCAAGTTGCGGTTGCAGTTTCATTTCTATTTAAAGTTTTGAATAAACAGAGCTTTAAAAACCTTTTTACATAAAATGCATCCCATTAGGAAAGGCCTTAACACTTCACCAAGCCCAAAAGGTATAGATGAAGCCTGAAAAAATACTGACATGTGTTTTGTAATGCAAACGCCTTGAGCTGGCTCAGCCCAAAAGCTGCTTCAGATACCATCTATTTAAGATAAAAACCATGCAAGCATTCAATTAGAAAATAGCTCCGAGTCTAATTCCTGGTTCCCGTTCAATGTAAGAAACCATTGGAAACCTCAATTAAATTCAACCTCAATTTCATTTGCTCACTTTCTTGCTCTGCAATATTGAAACCTTCAGGAATTCTCTATGTATTCCATCCCATTTCGCAAAACTTGGTTTCTGTACAGAATTGCAGGAACCATCAGTAAGATCTCAGTTCTCAGTACCTACTTTTCTATTTAGAAACTTTCAATTACATTTCCACCTTTTGGAATCTGTTACCCTCTGATAACTGTTTGAGGTAGAACTAGACTGTTTGCAACCTTGGTATTATATCCAATGCCGAGATGAGCTTCTGACCTCACATCTGTGCCATAGCTAAGACCATCTATTTCCACTGTTCTTTTAAAACTAGCACTAGAATCCACACTTGCTACAGCTTATCTGCTACTGAAACTCTCTTCCATATGTTCGTTACTGCTACTTTTGATTATTCCAATGCATTCTTGACTGACCTGTCTTTCCCTCTCCATAAACTTAAGTCATCCAAAATTATGCTGCTTACATCTTAACCTACATTAAGTCTCATTTACCTATCATCCCTGTCCTTGTGACCAAAATTTGCTCCCAATGTTAAGCACTGCCTTGACTTTCTTTATATTTATTTTACAAACCCTCCATGGCCTTGCGCCTTCATAACTCAGATTTTCCAGAATTCTATCATCCTCAGATATCTCTTTGCCCCTCTAATTCTGGCCTCACCTGCACATTTTTATATTCAACGCTCCACCACTGGCAGTCTTGCCTTCAGCTACCAAAGCCCTAAGCTCTGGAATTCCTCCTGAAACATTTAAAAAGTTCCTTAAAATCTAAAGATTTTCACTAAGCTTTTGGTCATTTGCCCTAAAGCCCTACATGACTTGATATCAAATTCTGACAGACAGTGCTCCTGTAAAGTGCCCTGGAACTGGTTACATCAATAAAAGGGCAAGTTGTGGCTGCTTGTTGAAAACATTAGGAGGTCAATAATAGATTCCAATCTGTAACTTAGATTTGCCTTGTCTTATGAATCAAAGCTGCAGCATGTGAAGATGGACTAATCTCCATTCTTGACCATTAAACTACATTGGCTCTGCTTTTGCAGTCTACACATTCCTCTCCACTGTGACCCAGTACAGTAGACACTTAAAATGCGGAATGCTGAACATTACCATACAGGAATGACACAACAGCAGATTACCTTTTCAGATCCAAAATACCACATGGCTTGGACATCTTGATGCTCAACTAGGAATTTACTGAGGTGGTCTCGGCAGCCAGTCAGAATATTCACGACACCAGCAGGAAGATCTGAGGTTTCAAAGACCTACAGAAATCAAAACAAAAATTCTTTGGTTGAAATATGCAATGCCCACGGGAATTAGCCTGACCTTAAATGAGAAGTAAGTTTTCTTGCTAAGGTAATGTTTCAAAATGATTAGAACTATTCCACATCTGTAAAATGTCACCAGTTCAGCCCTGCATTGGGAAGGATGGTTCCATCTCTATAGTTTCTTAAAGGCACAAGGTTTTTAAAAAAAATTTAAAAAAGAAACACACCAAATTGTTTCTTTGAATCTGGGATGTAAAAGATAGGATTGTTAAAATTCATGCACATAACAAACAATTAACATCAACTTTATATTTTTGAACATTAAGTCAACTCCAATCAAGTTGTATGCTCAGTGGGGAATAAGGTTGTTTTTAATAGAATCCCTACAGCATGGAAGCAGGCCATTCGGCCCATCAAGCCCACACAAACCCTCCAAAGATCATCCCATCCCCCTACCCTATCTCTGTAACCGTGCATATCCCATTGCCAATCCACCCTAACCTGCACATCTTTGGACTGTGGGAGGAAACCGGAGCACCCAGAGGAAACCCATGCTGACACAGGAAGAATGTCCACAAAGACAGTCGCCTGAGGGTGAAATTGAACCTGGGTCCCTGGCGCTGTGAGTCAGCAGTGCTAACCACTGAGCCACTGTGACATCCAACAAATTACTGTTCCTGTGAAACACAGCTGAATTCACCAGATAATTGGACACGTCTGGAGCACAAAACTGGGCGTATGGAGACAGCACTTAAAATGTTTTATGACAAAAGGTGATTTTTAGGGTATTCATTCAGCATCTGCCTGAAAGATTGGTACAATAATGGTTTCAAAATGTGGAAAGTGTTCCAAATGCCAGCACTATCATTCCTCACCTCAACTAGCATGTTAAGTGATTGTTGAGACAGTATAGTAACCAGTTCAATGCACCATACATATTCAAAAGCAAAAGATCATGTTCCCAGACATTGGAGGAATCTCAGCACAGCAATCTATTTACATTCATGCGTGCGGTGCAGGATTTCTCAGAATAAACAGCACACAGAACAGAAGGCAGGAAAACGTGGTTGAGAAACACATCAGCCAGAATCCATGTTTAGTAGCACGTAATCGAAGTGTGAAAATGCTGCCTACGGTTTTGACTCTAACAGCTTGTCAGGTTCCTCGAAAAAGTTTGTCAATCGCATTCACAAATAAATATTCACTGACTGCAGTTCAGAGCCTTACCAGCCACTATGCTGCAGACAACCTGCTGACGGTACGTCAAACAGCTCTGCCACTTGAAGCTGCGCACGACTTCAGAGAATTATACAGAAAGAGAACTCTATGATCAACAGGCAGGTATAGTTGGTGCTCCCAGTGCATAGTGCATGAAATGCTAAAACCTACCATAGCAATGTTCATCTGATATATTTCAAACAAACGCCAAACTTCGTTATCCATCCAAATTGATCAATTTTCCCCACACTGTTCACAGCTGATTGTTGCACTAACTCCCATGGTGCTGGGGAGACTGCTGATAACTCACCCAAGTACCCAATCTTCCTGTGTGAACTCAGGTAGCAGGCTACTTGACCATAAGATACAGGAGCAGGATTAGGCCATTTGGCCCGTTGAGTCTGTTCTGCCATTCAATCATAGCTGATGTGTTTCTCAACCACATTTTCCTGCCTTCTCCCCATAACCCGTGATTGCCTGGCTAATCAAGGGCCTATCGATATCTGTCTTAAATACACTCAATGACTTGGCCACCACAGCCCTCTGCAGCAAGGAGTTCCACAGATTTACCACCCTCTGGCTGAAGAAATTCCTCCTCATCTCAGTTCTAAAGGATGGCCCTTTTGCTCTGAGACTGTGCCCTCAGGTCATAGTCTCTCCTACCAGCAGAATCATCTTATCCACATTCACTGTCTCCAGGTGGCTTAATATTCTGCAAGTTTCAATGAGATCCTCCCCTCATCCTTCTAAACCCCTCATACAATAAGCCCTACACCCTGGGATCATTTTTTGTAAGCCTCCTCTGGACCCCTTTGAATGCCAGCACATCCTTCATTAGATACAGGGCCCAAAACTGCTCACATTATTCCAACTGAACCCGCTGGTTAACCTTAAGAGAATCCTGAACTGAGACTCCCAAGACCTTTCGTGCTTCAGATTTCAAAAGCCTTTCTCCATTTAGAAAATAGTCTGAGCCTCTATTCTTCTTACCAAAATACATAACTTCACACTTTCTCATATTGTATTCTATCTGCCACTTCTTTGCCCACTCTCCCAAACCTGTTCAAGTCCTTCTGTAGACTCTCCACTTCTTCAAAACCACCAGTCCCTTCACGTATCTCAGTATCAGCTGCAAATTTAGCAACAATGCCATGAATTTCTTCCTCCAGATTATTAACGTGTAACGTGAATAGTTGCAGTCCCAACACTGACCCCTTCGGAACTCCACTAGTCACTCATGGTCATCCTGAAAAAGATCCCTTTATCCCAACTCTGGCCATTGGCCTTCTGTCAATCCTCTATCCTCCCCAGTACCTTGCCCCTAACACAATGGGTTCTTAGCTAATTTAGCAGCATCCTGTGTGATCCCATGTCAAAGGCCTTCTGGGAATCCGAACTGGTCATGTCCACTGGCTGTCTATCACGCAATACTTCGTCAAAAGATTTTAACAGATTTGTCTAGCATGACTTCCCTTTCACAAAGCTGTGGTCACTCAGCCCTATTTTATTAAACACTTCCAAGAACTCTGCAATCTCATATTTAATAATGGACTCAAAGCTTACCAACAACCAGAGTCAGGCTAACCGGTCTACAGTTTCCTGTCTTCTACCTCCCTCCCTTCTTCCAACAAGGGCTCAGAGATCAGTTAGATCAGCATATACAAGCAATTTAACCCATCGCATTCCTGGTCTGTATAATTAATTAGATTAGAAGGATCGAGTCTTCCAAAAATTTTAAATGTGTCCAAGTTTGCATACTAACAAAATCATTGTCGCAAAACCTACTAATACAGAAAGAGATTGGGAGTTTTTCACAAGGGCTACTGAAAACATTCTCATTCCTGCATGGATGTCTTAAAACTCTCGCCTATACCTGATAAAGTTCCAAGGCCGGCAGTGGATACTTTTCACTGGGGACAATGATGACAGCATTTCCTCGAATAATGGCTGGAGCAAAGAGACTCACAAAACTGAGGAGGGGGTTCTCATCTGGGCAAGCAATGGCGATCACTCCAACTGGCTCCCGAACCATGATCGTGGCACCATAAAGCTGTGTTTCCTTCAACAGACAGAGAGAGACAGAGAGAGAGAGACAGAGAGAGAGAGACAGAGAGAGA